TAGAACGTATGTGTGTTGTGTATTTTAAACTATTTTTTTTACTTATTTTGCTTTTCTTTTTTTCTTCTTTCATTGTAAGCCGCCCGGAGTCCTCCAGGATTGGGCGGCCTATAAATTTAATAAATGAAATGAATGAAATGCACATGCACAGGATTTAGGTTGCATGTGTGAAACCATCCCCCTGCTGCCAAAGCTGCCACTAGTAGTTTGCAGAACCAAGAAGTTTGGCAACTCCCTGTGTTATGTAATAATTATATGACACCATGCCACCAATGTTCAGGATCTTTTATTGTACTATTCAATAATATTTAAATGGTATTCTTTCCAACAGAGTTAGAATTCAAAGATATTGAACAATACATCTCCCTATCATCCTGTTCTTATAAAAATGCATATGTCCCAGTTTTATTAGTCAGGAAATGTGTTGGGTATCTTATTGGGGGAAAGACCTTAAACATATATGAAGGAAGAATTTGTCAAATGGCAGAAGAAATTTGATCAAAGATGATGCAACAGATAACCTTGAATTCCATTATCCATCATTTACAGTCCAAACATGTGTTGTTGCTTGTTATGTATGTAAAGTACATATTATATTGAGCTATTTGGAATATGAATGCACTTTCGTAGTGTGAGTGACGTGGACCATTTCCTGTTAATCTAATTGTGTTTTTTCCCCCATTTTCCATCTCTTGTCAGTTCTTCCTGGGAAATCAGGTATAAACAGTGGAATGTACATGGAGTTTCTAGTACTTTTTTTTTTAATACATTATCATTTCAGCTTGCAGTGATTTGTCCTCCCACTTCCTTTTCACCGTGAGCTAATTCCTTGTTTGCTCAGCTTTGGTGCCTTAACAGGTGTCTCTTTATCCTGAGATTTGTCTCTTTTGCCTGTGGCTGCCTCATAATTAAGATTACTTTAAGGGAACCAGATAATAGTGCAAAATGCTCTTCGGGTGCAAACGCTTTCAGATATTTTTCTCTGTAATTTGCACTTGAAAACTGTAGTTGAGATGGTGCTATGATTGCTCTATGGCAGTGTTTCTCAACCTTGGCAACTTGAAGATGTCTGGACTTCAACTCCCAGAATTCCCCAGCCAGCATTCGCTGGCTGGGGAATTCTGGGAGTTGAGGTCCAGACATCTTCAAGTTGCCAAGGTTGAGAAACACTGCTCTATGGAATTGCTTTTAGGTTTCCATGCTGTATCCCTCTCTCAGGTAATTTGCATCACACTTTTTTTTTTAAACTACTAGGAAAAAGGCAAGGGTACGCAGACACAAACCAATAGTATGCAACCAAGCCACTTAATTTTGTTTATTTTGTTCAATATATCCTTGTTTCTCTGCTCACTGTTAGCTTTTTTAGCAGAGCAATATTATTTCATTCAAAACAAAGGTGGGGGGAAAAATAACATTAGGGGGCGAGCTGGTTACATTTGGTGGAAAGTGACCCCAGATTTCAGCCAGGATTGAACAAATAATAATGATTCCACTAAGTTTGAAATTTGCACTGATGCCAGAAGCAGAAGATCTTTCAATTCTTGTTAAAGTCCATCTTCCGGTGGTTCTTTTTATACAGTTATATATGTATTAAAAAAGAAATTTTGATACCTGATAATAACACAATATTATCATTATGCAACTATGTCTTTTAATAATGGGCATTGCTTAGGTTTTATATGAAACAGTATTAATAGAATTCTTGGATAGGATTTCCCATCTACTCCTAACAATGGAGCGTGTTCGCTATTTGAGTCCAATCAGACACACTCCCAGTTGAATCTATGCTTACAAACAGTTGGTATGATGAGGTTTAAATGAAGGGTATTGTCAGATATATACTGTCTTGATTGTTTAATAGAAATGATAGCATATAAGACAGTGTAAAACTAATCAAACTGTTGAAGGAGCTGGTGCTTCTGGAGAGAGAGGCAGATAAGAGTTGCAATAGCTGGGCATCCTTATCAAAGGAAAGGAATTTTGTTGTTTGCATTCCCAGATTATCTAAGAGAAATGTAGTAGACTTACTTACCCATTTTGTTTTTTACTTTTTTTGAAAGGCATAATTTATTTATTTATTTATTTATTAGACTTATATATCGCTTCATAGGGCTTTCAGCCCTCTCTAAGCGGTTTACAATTATTTTTTAGCAAATTGAGTCAGCAACTTGCCCCCCACAGTCTGGGTCCTCATTTCACCCACCTCGGAAGGATGGAAGGCTGAGTCGACCTTGAGCCGGTGATAATCGGGAATATTAAGTATCAAGATACAGACGGTAGTAATGTAGATATTTTAGCCACTCCAAATAATTACGACAGGTTGTGCTTGTAAGGATTTCGGGGAAAAACACAACTAAAGGATAAGTTTCCCAAAGAATACCGCAAAAAGAGGAAACTCCTCAAACCAACTGCCTAGGTTTGATTGGTCGGAAATGAAATGAAATTGTGTCAGGTCTCTCTTGATTTGCTGCTACAGCTTCTGGACATAGAAACGAGCCGAGGTGGCGCAGTGGTTAAATGCAGCACTGCAGGCTACTGCTAGATCAGCAGTTTAGCGGTTCACATCTCACCGGCTCAGGGTTGACTCAGCCTTCCATCCTTCCGAGGTGGGTAAAATGAGGACCCAGATTGTTGGGGGCAATATGCTGACTCTCTGTAAACCGCTTAGAGAGGGCTGAAAGCCCTATGAAGCGGTATATAAGTCTACTGCTATTGCTATAAAATAAATAAACGTGAATATTACAGCTTGGGACCAAAGGTAGAATTCTCCCAAAAATAATCTAGGAAGCAGGGAGGGATATTCTTTCCTGACTCATCTATGTGGTCATAACTTCCCACTCTGCTTTAGGAAAATAACTACAGTCAGCATTTGGATTCATTTGTGGCTGTAGGAGAGCTGGGTGAATGTCTCCTGTTATCGTTCCAATTTCTCTGGCTAATTCTTCCCCGAACTATTTAAGCAAAGTCCATTTTCCAAAGGGCTCCTATGAAAAACAGTCGCTGCAGCATAAAAACCTTATAAGAAGAAAGGAAAAAAAAGTCTTCATAGCTATGTTTATTTCCATAATTTTACACAGTGCACATTCCAAACTAGCCTTTTTGCATACTTCTAAAAATAAGGTTTTGTCCCTGGCGTAGTGAGTTTTATCTGCCACACTGTTATTTGGTTCCTAAGAAGTAATATGCTTTCCCCCCTTTGCTTAAGCTGTATCTCAGGTTATATTAAAAAAGTAAGCTCAGTTGTATGATTTAGCAATGAAAGATTTTTGCTTTTGCTAATATTTGGCTTCTTATTCCAGTTGGACTTTTGGGCCCTCATTGAAAAATCAGGCATTAAATATTAGAGAAGTTCTGAATTCTTCTCCTAGCGGAAACTAATGACAAAATGATTTGCAGCACAAGTCACAAGCGTAGCTCAAAGAAAAGATTTTTTTTTAGGCAGTGATTGGGGATGGAAGTGTTAAAACCTAGTGAACTTCATTATACATTTAATGAAAAGTTAACTAGGTGTGATTTCCTGGGCCTTTTCTTCTCGGCCTTGTCTGTCCTCTCACCTGGTTATTGCAATGACCAGGAGTGCAAATATGCTGTAGAGCAGTGGTGCCCAAACTTGGCAACTTTAAGACTTGTGTACTTCAACTCCCAGAATTCTCCAGCCAGCTGGCTGGAGAATTCTGGGAGTTGAAGTCCACAAGTTTTAAAGTTGTCAAGTTTGGGCACCACTGATCTAAGAGAACAAACCCATCAGGACAAGCTTCAGCCGTCCATCTGCATTTGTAAAACGGTCACTTTTTACACAAGTCTTAAAGTTGCCAAGTTTGGGAACCACTGCTGTAGAGCAAAATGAAGGGAGAGAATAACAATCAGAGGAAATAGAAAGGGAAGTATGTTCTTCCTCTAGCACGGAGCTTAAAAGTACAGTACAAATCTCTAGGTTGCAACTGCCTAATTTTGGCTTTACAGTACTCGTTCCATGTTCTCATAACATGGGGGTCAGCACCTGGCCATTATGATCCCAAAATAACAAAAGAGTGCAAACGCTGTCCTTTTGCCTATTTGCCCAGTACAAATAATTCTACATTCCTTTCTAAATTTTTCCTTTCCTGATGTGCTGTAATAAATAAATCAAAAGCCTCGGATTCTCTGTTGAACATCAACCAGAAGACTATTAAGATTCTGAATAACAAGTCCAGTTAAGTTGGACCCCTGCCACGTTCCAGATCAATGTTTCCTTGTTTGGACATGATAAGAAATTATGCTTTATTCCAGCAGGCCAAGAAAGACAGGAGCTGTATAAAAACTAGAATCCAACAGTAGATAAAACTTCTGTGATTTAAAGATTACCAATACATGCTTAAACAATGATGTAGTAAGTTTCATGATTATTTAGATCAGAGATGAAGAGAAAATTATTTTTTGTTTCATTTTAATATTATATCTAAGCACATTCCTCTAAACGAATATTTGAATTCATATGAAATTACATATTAGAGGCTTCAAATCTTTGATTTGGAGAATTAAAGCTGACCAAATTAAATCTCCAAAGCGAATATTTGACTTAGAAGGCTTATACAGAAGTTGTTTCTTCAGAATTGATTGGGACAATCGAAGTATCAAACGAATTCAGCTATTAGAACGGATGATTCAATTCTGACCAAATCTGATTTACGTATTCCTGTTATGTACATATACTTATTTGAATTTCTCCAGTTTTATAATGTAATTCATAAATAAAGAGTAATGCTGGTTCCACCACTAAACCGCGCCCGACTAAACCGCGTCGCTGACGTCATCAACAGGGCGACAACAGCGCGGAGACAGAAGCAC